AGCCCATTTACAAAGTCATATAAGATGAATTTCAAACTCAGGCATGAAAGGTGGCAGGTGATGTGCTAGTCCAGGGGTCTGCAACCTGTGGCTCTGGGGCTACATGTGGCTCTTTGGTCCCTCTTCAGTTGCTCTTTAAAAATGCGACCAAACATAACAGAATAAATAGGGGTGTTTTTTTTGTATTTATACCCACAACAGAAATCAATTTGTATGCAAAATGTGATCAATACTACTCATAAACAGTAAAACATGTTAGCTCATGCTAGCCTGTTTTTTTTTTAAATAATTCAACTTCTTTTTCTCAAATCCAACAGAATTACCTTTAAAGAATTTGAAGACTACATCCTAAGAATTAGAAGGTAAAAAATTCCTGAATAATTCAATTGTACCAGCTTTTATGAAATTCGGTATAATCATTATACAGTATTTTTCTTGTTTACATGAATACGGTCTTTTTATTCGTCCTGATGTGTATAATAATAAATAATATTATAATAATAGCAATATTTTTTAGCCTTATAATGTCACCTCCACTGACCGTGAAGGTTCCTGAAAAGGCCTTGAAAAGGCCCGCGGACCACCAGTTCATAATCACAGTTGTAGCTTGTTTTGTGGCTCTGGACACATTTTATTAGTGAGACAATGAGCAGAAAGGGCTCTTTTGATTGTAAAGATTGCAGAACCCTGTGCTAGTTCTTTGTGATGATGATGTTTGGCCAGTTTTGGACCCATGACTTTGTTAGTGCTAATACCATACTACTAAGTCGTGCATGATCCTCCCTCAGGTGTATGTTGTTTGTTAGCTTTTATACAAAAATGTCAGAAGAAAGTTAAAATTACTCATCCACACTCATATGGACGCAAAGGAACCAGTATTTTATCTGTCACTGCATCAGTTTTAYACATAGCTGCCTGTCACCGGACTGATCAGATTCCTCACTGTATGTACGCAAAAGCCTACGAAGGCATATTTTTGTTTAATATCTGATTGCTTCTCAAACAGGAACAAGGTATCAGGAGTCCTGCATTCAAAACTGAAAGTTTGCTCACTCWGCCTCCTTAAGAGCTGTCATGCACAGACACGTTAGTAAATACAAAACTAAGACTTTTACAAACTAAAGTTTTGTTGTTTATGAGCAAAACAGCTCGAGTTCATAAAGGCAGCATGCTTAAAACGTGCGTTTTTAAGTAACATTGTTATTAATAATTTAAATTCTCATTACTCGGTGTTCACTAACCATTACACTAGTTTGAAAGAACTGGCCGGGTTAAACATGGTAGAAGGTAGCATGTTAGCAGCTAGCTTGACGTTATTACTGCATAAGGAAACTGCTAATGTTGACCAAGAAGCTAACTAGCATCAGTAAGTTGCTTCAGCAGTAAAGGTTAAGTTAAAACTCATCTCTCCGGCATGACTCCAACATTTAGAGTCCAGCTAGCTGTCTGACAGCGACAAAACTAGTGACAACAGCCTGATGTTACCATTTAACTTGCAGAGAAGGGAGGCGAATAACTCACACTAGCAGCCAAACTCCTTCTTTAGCATGCTACACGGCATCTCAACGACAAAGTTAAAAACTAAGTCAGCGTTAACTACACCGAAAGCACTCAACATGTCCTCGTTTTCTGTGTAATGTTGACGTTACTCACAACTTTTTCTTCTCCCTTTTAATTGAGCTTGGTCGCTAGCTTGTAGACGGTCTTTTCATTTGCCGAACAAGCTTGAACGTCCTGACCCTCCTCCATTGGAAGGATTTGCCTTGTATTGCGCTCTCTCTCTCTCTCTCTCTCTCTCTCTCTCTCTCTCTCTCTTTCTCTCTCTCTCTCTCTCTGTGTCAGCGCTGGTAAAGGTCCACTGTCAGAGCAAACGGCAACCTGGTTGCCCCGCCTTCTTTGTTAAGGATTGGCTGTGATAATCAACGCCCATGTAAAATTTCAATTTTGATTGGGTAACATTYCTGTCAATCAATAAAAACAACCTGTTGATTAGATGACGTCTTTCAGAGGATGGCGTGCACATTAGGTTTGTTTTATTTCTTTACCGGCGTACACCGGTGTGCGCGGGAACTCCTGTTAATTGAAGGTTAATTAACTAGGATACCTGCTAATTTTTAACGTCATTACCAGGTTTAATTGAAATCTACATGTTACCCCTACAATATATTGAAACCGTCTTATTTTCTAAACTGACAAACTGTTAATACATCATAGTTCAATTATAAGAAGGGAAAACATTACTTCTGCAAATTTGTAAATTGTGTTTTTTTATATTTCTTTTATTGTGAGATTATATAACATGACAAAAAATCTGAAAATATATGTTAACAATGGAAATATAACCATTTACTATTTCAAGAGTTTAAC